TAATAAAGTATAATAAAAAATAGTAATACAATTGTAATACTTACTGCAAGTGAAGTTATTACTCTCAGTAGCAACATAGTTAGGACCTGATGATGTACAGTCAGTGCTACCATCACACTGACCATTAGCAGTAAATGATAAACAACAATCACCAGAGCCTGATCCAGTACACCTCATCAGTCCAGAATTACAAGCACTGTCACATTCTAAATGAGATTAACAATTATTTCTATTAAATTGTCTTACCTCTACATCTAGTATCACCACCAAAACCTTCCCGACACCGATAACAATCAGTTCTTGGAGGAACACCAACAACACTGGCAGGAGGAGGATCTAAACTACCAGTCCTTCCACTCCATGTACCACTGCTACACTCAATATCAAATATGCTGGTTTGTTCAGGTTCTCCTGGGTTAGGAGTGAATGTAGCTATAAGAGCTATGGCTTGATAAGTACCAATCATGCTCCCTTGAGCTAGACAGACATATTGAACTGATCCTTCAGTTACATTAGGAGAGTATGACTGGCCACTATCAGAAATGACTAGTAAAGGAGGCAATGCAGCCTCTAACTGAGCTATTGTTGGTAGAGGACAATCCTGAGCAACTGATAGTGACAGAACACATAAAACAAAGACTAGCACTGCTTCTCTCATCATTGCTATCAAACTACTTTTCTAATGACTAAAAGAATTATGACATCATCAACTGGTGACACAAACAATAACAAAAATTTGCAACTATTGAACTATATTGCATGCTTACAGCTCACATTATGGCAGCTAAAATCAGAGTCATAATAAAATACTCTTCTCATAATAGTTTCACAAACATACTATAGACTATAGATCTAGCTAATTTATGAGTCTAAAAACTAAAATAAAACCAAAAAGGCTAGTATAAAGGAAACAAGGCAGTGAGTGTCCCAAAGGCATAAGGAGTGTATTCAATAATATATGTGATCATGATTCAGTTGGAAGGTTGAGTCATTGGAGACAATGAGATATGGAGCCAATGGTATAATGAATACAGCACCAGTAAGGATTCATTAGTTAATTTGAAGACAATCTCTCTTTCTTTATCCCTCTCTCTCTCTCTTACAAAGGTATGATAAGGCTGCATTTTGTCTTGAAGAACTAATCCTTTCCAATCCTTACAATTGTATATTTCATCAACGTTATGCTGAAGTGAATACATTGCATGTTTCCTATACAATACTATTACTCTTCTTTCTTCCTTTTCATTCTTGTATAGGTTTGCTATACTCAAAATACAACAGAGAGTCTTGAAATTGCTCGCAAGCATTATGCAACCTCTTTGAAACTGAAACCCTCTAACCTCCAGTCACTCTACGGTCTATATCAGACTGCAGTGAGTCTTGGAAGACACTCGAAAAAGAAAGAAGCAAAAGTTAGGAATGATGACATTGCACAGTGGTGCATGTTGCAGCTTTTGGAGACTTATCAGGTAAATGTGACAATATCCTTTCCTCAGCAGATTATGTGAATGTGACTTTTCTCTTGTAGGAGAATTGTAACATGGAGCAATTGAAAGTTTTGGAGAACTTCCTCAAGCCCCCGTCAAAATAAGAATCAA